AGGGCAAGGGATATATAATCGGAAGCGGCACAGGCCATCTGCCTCTGGTGGTGTATAATGTACCTCCTCGTATATATGCGCCGCACGCGGGCACGTGTCCTCTTTCCTCTTTTTTTTTTTTTTTTTTTTTTTTTTTTTTTTTTTTTTTTTTAAAAACGTATCGATAGACCCACGGGGTAGTTATATTATATCAAATAGGTACTCCCTCGCGGGGGCGAATCCAAAAGGAATATCTTTCCTTTTGGATTCGGGTCCATGACGCTGCCACCGGCGCTCAAGAAGACACGAAACATCTGCGGCAGCTGCGAGACGGCGGCGCGCGCCCGGCAGGTGTTCCTCCTCCTCCTCCATCGACTTTGTCGTCGTCGATAGGACCCATCTCTCCCTCTTTGGGTTTTTTTTCCTTTCCATTTTTCGTTTCGTTGCATTTCTCGCTCTCGTTTTCTTTTTGGGCCCTACAGCAGCCTGCCAATTACGCGTGGCCCCGCTCTCCTCCGAGCCTCTCGTTTCAACGCCGCTGGATTTTTTCCCTCTACCTTCTCTCGCACACGCATACACACACATTTACATAATTGTGGCTCGTGCCTTTACATCACTAAGATGTGCTCAGCCGCGCGGATGATGATTTTACGGAGTCGCGTATTGCGGGCAAGGCTTCTTTCTTCGGGAAAAACATAGTTTCCTCCTCCGCCTCCTATATTTTTCCCTCGTGGACCGGATTTTCGATCTCACCCAGGTATACTTTATTGTACCCAGCAATTGCAAATTCACAGAAAACACAACCATTATTATTCGTACAACCAATTGTACATTATGTATATAGTTTCGATTTATTTGACATAAATGATCGGTATACGCAACGCGTCGCGCATTTAATGTCTTTCCGATTGTCGTCACGATCAAATTAATTTGCACAAGTACAAAACGCACAAACGCGTGTGTACGTCCTTATTGTTATTTCCAACACCCGAAAAAAGTGACAACGCGCGACGCGGGAGAAATCGGCCACGAAACGATCGTGCTCTTTTTCTTGTATACAGCAGCTTTTGAGAGGACAGAAGTAGGTATACATAATACATCATGTACGTCTCTTGCATACCAAGTCACGCTGCAAGAGGATTATATTATTCTCCGTGGATATAATATATCATTATGTACAACCTGGATGGTGGCACGCGTGCAGCAGCCGGCTCTCTTCCTTTCCGATCGAGAAGTTTTTCCTTTTTTGTAATCGTTGTCATTCGTATATATATATATATATATATATATATATATATATATGTAGCATACGTACATCCATATTCATGTTGAGTCGTTACTAAAAACTCACGCTCGCGCGCGCCGAGAGAACAGCCTCCGAATCATACAGCGCGGGCACGCGCCAACCGTGTGCCTCTCTACTTTTTTTTCCTCCACCTCCTCGGGCTCCTTTTTTTTTTTTCCTCTCCGTGGAGACTCGCTTGTACATATCCTGCGGCTCCGGCTGGCTTACACGTGCCTCGTGTGCGCCAGTATATATACATATGTACACTGACCAAAAGGCCCCATCATCGATAAGATGTATACAGCCGCATCTGCTGCTTCTTCTCCGTGAAATACAAAACCTCGTCACTCAAGAGAGGGAGAGTGGGATGCTGAGTCTATATACCCGTGCCGATCGAGGAGAGCGTGTATATTTACCGAAACCGACTGTGTGTACGTATATATTCATATATATAATATACGGATGGGCGAAACTTTCGAGTGTGCGCGCGTGGACCTCTCGCAGATGGACAGCGGCCGATTTTTCGAGGAAATCGAGGATTTGTTGGAGGGTGCGGCTGCCCGATTTTTCCCTCCTTTTGTACAAGAGGGGGAAGAAGAGTCGAAGAGCAAATCGGAGCTAACGAACGAGGTTTTTTCTTTTTTTCTTTTCATTTGCACAAGAGTAGGCTCTTTGGGTGGTTTTTCCTTTTTTTTTCCTTTTTTTTTTCCTTTTTTTTTCCTTTTTTGCTCAAAAGATCGAGGAGGGAAGGAAGGGAGCTTCTCTTAGCCAGAAACTTTAAATTAAATCTTCGAGTTGGCGCGCTGAGTTTTCTCTTTGCTCTATACACAGAGTTTGGCTTCGCGAGCAACAAAGTTGGTTTTTTTCTTTGTTTTTTTTTTGTTTTTTTTTCAACAAAATTTTCTGACATACGGCGGTTCAGTTCCTCGTACCATCCATACAATAATTCCTGCGGGGAAATCTTTACACGGCTGTGATGGCACTTTTGGCCTATCCTTGCATCGTACGGTATAATTTATATACGTAAAGTTTCGCGAACGACAAGTACGAGAGAGTAGTACACTTGTGTCATTTGCATAGCGGTCAAGATTCGTTTTTTTTTTTTTTTATACTTTTTCCGCTCCTTTCACATGTGCACATCTGCCGCGTAACGCGCAAAAAAGCCGCAACCGTCTGTATACGCGTACGGATTCTCGAAAACGACATTTGAATGAAAGTTGAACGGCTGTTTTTGCAAAAAAAAAAAAAAAAAAAATTGTACCTGCATCAACTCGGGTGTACATACATATTCATATTCCGAAATTCCCCGGTGACTCCTTAAAAAATATTACANCGACATTTGAATGAAAGTTGAACGGCTGTTTTTGCAAAAAAAAAAAAAAAAAAAAAAAAAAGGAGAAAAAGAGTACTCGAGTAGATAAAGTAGTCCATGAGCTATGAAAACTACCTCCCATGGCTTTTTTTTCCCTCTCGTTTCCTTCCCCTGCACAACACACGGCTCTCGATTACTACATTGTGTGTATTGACGGATATAATGTAGTCGGGGCAAAAACATGTATGATACAGAGTCAAAAGTCACTCACTGCACTAATGTCCAAAACGTCCTATAAAGGTAACGTGTGTATATATATAGTATACCCATATATTGTGCGCAAAGAGACGACGAAAGTGAGCGAGTGCTTTTTTTTCTTCTTCTTTTACTTCACGTGCGCGCATTAGCGTGCGAAAAGGAGGTGCGTGAAACTCGAACGGATGAGGAGACGTTTTCTTTTGTGACGCTTTTAAAGGAAGAAGTTCGTTTGTTGAAAGCAAGTAAGTAAGGAAGCCTATACTATGGTGTCTGTATAAATAAGTCGATGGCGATGGTCTCGCAGATAAATATATATACACGTCCTCCGGTCTCCCATATTTTATACTTCCCTCGGACGGACCTACCGCGGAAAAAAGGGGCAACTTTGAATGATTGACGCGCATAATACGGAGCAGCTTATTATTATTTTTTTCTTCCCCCCCCACAAGTCCAACGCTACTCAAATGTACGTATAGGTACAACGGGGAGTCGAAAACTATTTCGTCCTCTCTCACTGACAAGCGCACCCTCCTCCCTTGAAGATTTTCAAGATGCTCACCAGCAAGAGAGAAAAAACAGAGCAGCCATCGTCGGAGAACACTACACCCTGCACCCCCGAGACGTAACGAGCTTCCGGTGCAGCTTCGTCCTTAAATCATCACTGTGTGTAGGTATTATACATGTATGTATACAACCCCGTACCTACACAGCCACCCACACACACGTATATATGTATGTATCAAGTGACAGAGAGAACCTGCTGCCACTGACCTCCTCCTCCTTCTCCCCTCCTTTGGAATGCGAGCCATGCAGCTGCACATGCACGTGTGTATATACGACACCTATACAAGCGGCGGCTTTTCAGGACTCTTGCACCGCTAGGAATTCCCGCTCTTTCTCCGTTGGTTTTGTCCCGATGGCCACATTAGCAGCGACCATTGATTCGCCATTCTCGGTTTGATTCTTTTCCCTCTCTCTCTTGGAGAAAGTGTACGTGGGCGTCGGTAAGAGGGGCGATAGTTGAATTTTCCGCCATCTCCACTATTTGCGCAGTATAAATAATAACAATACGAAAAGAGAGAAAGAGAAACACGGTTCGTACGGTTATTGGATATTTTCGAGCATCGACAATTTCATACATTGTTTTGCAAAGTATTTGTAGGTGCAGTGCACCCACACGACTCGGTGATGGCTATAAATTGCCCCGTCGATGAGCTGTCGCGAACAAATCGTGCATATACTATATAATATTATGTATACTCGCTATCTTGAACATTCGTATATGATATGTACGATAATATGTGACGTACATCTTAATATATGTACAGCCAAGCGTGGTTTGCGCGTGCCAATTTTCAAACAATAGCAAAACACGCGCAATATACGCGTCCTATACAAAAGTATACATTTTTATATACATATAACACAGTTACACTTGCAGCCCTATAATAATACGGAGTAAGGAGGTGTGTTGGTAACAATGAATGTATTACTCGTGCCCCACATTTGATATGTTCTATATAATATACTGACGCTGGTTCCTATGATTTGTGCATGGCCACCCGATGGGTATACATGTACCTATATACTTGGCTCCGGTGCCATTTGGACGCGTAAACGTGGATCTTACCGATTTCGCGTGTCCAAAATATTTGCCCCGAAAAAAAAAAAAAAACAAAATTCCACCCCCTCGAACTTTAATCGCCCTACTTCGACTCGACAAAAAAAAAAAAAAAAAAAAAACCCCCGCTTGTCGAATCATGTGCGCGCCCATCCACATACTATGCACACGATATCGACCGCCAGTATATGTATATACGGAAGGGGGCAGGAGGAGTGCGGGAAAAAGGGGCTAATAAAGTTTCAATCGCGAAATTAGCCNTATTTGCCCCGAAAAAAAAAAAAAACAAAATTCCACCCCCTCGAACTTTAATCGCCCTACTTCGACTCGACAAAAAAAAAAAAAAAAAAAAAAAATAGCGCTGCAAAGGTATGTATACAAAGAGCTTTCTCTTTCCGCGGTCATCACCGGCAAACATCACAGTGACCCCCGGGGCGCCGCCAAAGCAGATATGTATACGTCGCCGTCTCTGTCACCCCATCGTTTATTAATAAGGAATCATTAAAATAAGGGACTGAGAAAAAGGTGCAATTTTGTGTACTCACCCGTAGAGCATAGCCGCGCCGGCAACTCCACCGCCACACTGCGCGAGCCCGTAAGCTATGGCCCTAAAAGCCGACACCTTCCGAGATAGGGCGAACGACACCGTGACTGCTGGGTTCACGTGTCCACCTGTCGACAAAGCGAGAGTATAATTATTGTACATTAGTATTTTTTTTTTTTTTCCCTCCCCTTAATCTCTACTGTTTCCAAGGGGTTGGTCCCTGATTACTTATTTCATTGTTGCGCTCGAAAATCGGTAAGGAAAAATCGAGCGTGTATCAAACACGATTCCCTCCGAAGAAAGAGAAGTAAAAAAAAAAAAAGGGGGACAGGGGCACGGGGACTATAAAGAAGAAAATAATGAAAAAGCGCTAACGGTACTCCCACACGTGCACAATCGCATCGGTATTGTAAAAGCCGCGCGTCCCCCTCCCTAAAGGAGTTCCTTCGTCGTCTCGTTTTTTTTTTTCCTCCCCCCAATAGTCCAAGTAACTGGGGAAAAGTGAGCGCGAGACGTGTTCTTTGCTCGGCCACCAAAAGCACGGTACACACGGTGCAAAAATACCCATACCGCGGTCGCGAGCAAAACGTGGAGAGAGGCCACACGCAATCGGTTAACGAGCCCACACATCGAGGGTACAAGGAAAAATAAAGAGTAAGGAGAAAGGCATCGGCATCACCCACATATGACAGATCTTTAGCTGTATACACATTATTGTTATGTAAGGGACCGCGAACGAAGCTACATATATAATATATATATACATCTGAAACGTTGCAGCAGTACAAAGTATACAACATACGTGCAGTAATGAGATATATCCCTCGGCGCTTTCGAAACAATCTCGCCCTACTCCCACGCTCGTCGTTTTTATTATGTAGTAGGAGTAAGTGCACGCGCTTTTATTCTCGTTCCTTTTCGACTCTCTGCGGTCAACAATGGTGTCCCCGTATAACGCTGAATTCCGATGCACTTGAAGAAAGTGATGGGCACCGGGGAAGGGGAATACTGATGTTTGCGAGATGAAAAATGAAAGGGAAGGAAAAAACGGTCAACAACAACAAGAACAACTCACCGCTGACGGGTCCAAAGATGAGTTGAACAGCGGCGATGGCGAAACCCGTGGCCACGGCCGTGGTAAGGGCGTTGAGGCCGCTGTTGGAGGTGGCGGGTGCCACGGCCGAGCCGGCCACGACGAAGGCGAACAAAAAAGTGGCGAAGCACTCAACGGCGACGGCCCGCCAAAACTCGAGGCTCCAAGCTTCGGTCGACATAGGGGGTAAACCGGCAGTGTGCTCGTGGTGGTGTCGCGCGTCCTGCGGCTGCTGGCTCTGGCCGCCCACGCTACCGTTCTCCTTAAGCGCCGAGAGCTTCGTCAGTAGGGTCACTATGTGGGCGTCCAGGTCGCGCTGGTGCTGCTGTTTGCCACCACCGATGGCCCCCGCTGTAGTCATCTTGGCTCTCTCTCTCTCTCTCTCTCCGTGTACTTGTTGTCACTTGGTTTAATAATATAATGTATACCGTCAAACTACGATGCACTCGGATATCGCTGTATACGCGTGTAACCCGTCGGCATCGACTTTTTATTATTTATTATTTAGCAACGCGCACCACTTTTATCGTCTTACCGTATATACAATATTATACTCGTGTAAAAAGTACGATGGTACCTAACTCGCGCAGTGCTCGGACTGCTCGGTAAATTGGGACAAACGAGGTTCAATTAAAACGTTGGCGCGCCGCACGCGAACCGAACAACGCGTCCTCGTGTCTCATTCCCGATGTATAAGCGTGTCTCTTGTACATGCATTGGCAATTGACACATCGGGGGAGTAAGATAACGAGGATGTACGGGGATGTTCCGGAGATGGGGGTGCCGATGTAGTGTCGCCGATGACGCGCTCTCGAGTGCCGCTTGTTGGTGCCGCGCGGCTGGCCGGCTGCTCCAAAATCCCATCGGTGCAACGTGACGGCGGCGGCGGGGCGGCTCACCCCCACCCGGCTCTCTCTTTCTCTACGCCCCTCTGCGTGTGTGCATGTGTGTGTATAATCGCTGCTCCGCTCGTCCGCACATATATATATGTGTGTATATATGCAGCTGTTTCTTTAACCACCGCCTCCTCCATCACCTTCTCGATTTTTTTTTTATCCTTTTCGGGTTTGCTATACTTATATAAGTATTATACTCGCTGCTTATTTGCGCAACGCGAAAAAAAAAAATATATATATATATATAGTATTAGTGTACGGTGTGGTGTGTGTATCGCATAAAAATCGGTATACAAAAAATGTTTAATCAAGCGTAATCTGCTGGAAATCAAGCCATAAAACTCTATGTGTCTCTATATCATGTGCTTATATATTTCCGTACTGTGAATCATAAGCAGCTGCTCCTTTTTTCCCCCAATTAACTTGATCTATACGTATATAATTTAGATCATGGGCGTTTGTGATTTTTTTATTTTGATTTTTTTTGTTAGGGGTGGTTTTGTTTAATATACGAGAGGGCTTGTAACGAGGCACTCCTGTGGTTTTTCTTAAACGCGTCGTCTAAACTCTCGCGATCGGAGAGTACAAGGTACGCACGGTTATGGCCACAAAGTATTCTATTTATCGGAAGAAAAAAAATTCCTTGGGCGAAAAGCTCAAAAAGAAAAATCATCTCCCCCGAAAAAAAAAAAAAAAAAAAGGAAGAAGCATCGGAGAGGGGCAAGTGCCGACGCACCCCCGTACTATACATGTGCGTAAATTCGAGCCGAGAGAGAAAGGGAATTCGTTCAACGGGGGCCTCTGCGTGCATCTGCCCTTCTCCTCTTTCGGCTTCTCTCTCTCCCTTTTTTTTTTTTTTTTTTTTCATCCTCCTTGAAACCTTCTTCCTTTTTTAACCGAGACGATAGGGATCGGAGGTAGAGAGGAGGAGGCCTGCGTTTCATGTATAATATACCTGATGGTCCCTTCTCCTTGCAACGAGCCCCAACTTTACCAACGCGGTCCTCCTTCTTCTTTTGGCCCGCGATTAAGTATACGCGAGGCCTCTCTCTTTCTGTGTTAGGTTTTTACTAAAGGTACAACAGGTTTTTTTGTTTCGCCACGTGTGGCTTTTTGCTTGTTAAATAATCTCTGCGCTTGTAGGTGGCTTTTTTCTTTTTTCTTTTTTTTTTTTTTTTTTTTTTTTTTTTTTTTTTTTNTTTTTTTTTTTTTTTTTTTTTTTTTTTTTTTTTTTTTTTTTTTTTTCATCCCGAGTCCGTGTGTCACCGATTGATGAGCTTTTAATTACGCGTACAGCCGATATCATGTATATTTTGGATTGGCTCCAAGGAAGGGCTTTTTTCCTTTTTTACGCAGTATATATTTTGATCCCGGTATGATGAGCAAACGAGTGCTTTTGCGATTAAAAAGTGAAAAAACCAAACTCACTCCTTGAACTTGATGAAAAATCCCCTCTTTGAGCGAGAAATTAAATTTAAAATTATTTTCAGGTCGTTTAGCGCGAGAAAATCCCTTAGTAGTGCTACGGGGGCAAACAAAAAAAAGCAAAAAAATCGCTTGTATTTCTAACGCGTTGGTTTTACTGGCTATAGAGAGCCAATTTGCAGTTGAAAAAAAAAAAAGAAAAAGCCCTGCATTCACAAAACAGAGAAAAAAAAAGAAATCACTCCAGAGGGCAAAACCACGACGCATCGATACATGTGTATTACTGTATTGGCGAAAATGTCGCGCATAAAGTACATATGTACACATTTTACCTGTCAAAGCCAACGACCTTACCCCGTATATACGTATAGGTACAACAACAACAGTAATGAAAATTGCGTTTCCTCGACGGGCGCACCCCATCACCTCTCATTAGCCATTTCGCCGCGCCGCAGACAAAAGACCGAAGGAACGGCCCCCTCGAGCTTGTAATTGTTTTTCCGAAGGACGACGCTTCAAATTGTTTTTTTTTTTTTTTTTTTTTTTCCCCCAAGAAAAAGGACTTTCAGCCGTGACGCGAACTACGTCGCGACTATTTACTTGTTCAGAGCGGGCGGGCGTGCGAGGGACATCTCGCCCAGGGAATTTGAGGGATTTAGAGGCAGACGAGAGGCGACGGGTCGTTAGAATTTTGAAAAGGACACGCTCCCCTCCCCTTAAGCAAGAAAAGTGCTGCAGTGCCTTTGGTGGGCTGTACTTGCAGGTAGATTTTTTATCTATACCTGCATGGGTTCGAGGGGCTAAACGCACTTTGAAAGCCTTGATAAAAAAACAACAAAAAAAAGTTCAAAGTTTTTATCAAGTTACAAAACAGTCCCGGATGACTTTGAAATCATTTTCAACTCTCTATACAATTGTATGCGTGACTTTAAAGTCTTTTCGAGACTTTTGCAATTTTTTGTATGAATGACAATTGAAAAGTAAAAATGTTGGACGGTTTACTGGTTGTTTTTTCTCTTCCCTCGTTAATATTAATGCGATCGCGTGCGAAAAAAAAAAAAAAAAGGGTCAATATACGTGCGCCCGAATCTTATCAAAGCGCCCGGAAATTCCTCACCTAAAGCCCGAGCTCTATATCTAATCTTTCCTTTTCTCGCCTCCTCCATCTGTATATATCTCTTATGGATAACGAGGTGTCGTCGAGTATCGTAAACGTAATCGGAGAGAGGTAAGATAATGCCGATCCGATCTTGGACGCGCATCTTTTTCGAAGCACAAGATTGTCCATATGTCGTTGTAGTTATACCCACCACTGCCTGATAAGTTTTACTAAAAAACGGAGGTACCTGAATATAATTATATAATTTTTACAATGTTTATAATGTGCACAGTTGATACGCGGGCCTTTGGCTCACCCGATTTTTTTACACCCCCCTTTGAAATTCATGTTTTTGCATCGATATAGATCTTTTTTTTTTTTTTTTTTTTTTTTTTTTTTTTTTTTTTTTTCAAATTAGGTGGAAAAACAAGTAAGCATGCGTTTACTCGTCGAAAGCGCCAATCGAAACCCACGTGGAGTCCCGATTTGTCGCGTTCATTGGACTCGGCCTGTGTGAATGAATGTACATTTTGTTACATGCGTGCAATCGATGATTTTTACACGAGAGAGTCTCGGTGATGATATTTTCAACGCGGCGATGCATGTAGGTACGTGCGTACCATGAGTCACTCACGCGAGTGTTACAAGCGAGCTTTTAGCGCGGTGATGAATGGCCGGCTTTTTTTTTTTTTTTTTTTCTTTTTTTATTCCAGCTATGATTGCTCATGTAACGCGAGTACAAGTAGATCAGTTTCGATCGAGCCTCCGTCGCCGATTGAGCGCTTCGACGCCGATTTTCGCTTTTCGCCCGACCAACTGTTTGTGTCCTATCGCTCATAACTGCGCGTGTAATGAAAAAGTGAGAGAGAGAGAGAGAGAGAGTGTAAGTGGTTGTTGGTTTTTTTTTTTTTTTCTAGTTTTCGAAAGTACGGGAAGGATAGCATAGATCATAAAATACGATTGAGGCTTACGTGTACAAAAGTGAAATATACCCGCGTGTGAGGTAAGATACTCCTGAATTTGTTGTTTCAAAGTATGGTTAAACTATATCTCTTTGACTGTGCTTCCGATTTTTTTTTTTTTTCCCAGCAATACCGATTTTCCTCGAATACAAGAACACACAAGTTTTTTTTAGGTGAGGGGATTTTTCTTCTTCTTTTTTTTTTATATTTCTTTTGTTTAGCGGTGCAATCAACTTTCGCGCGACTTACAGATATACATATAATAAACTGAATACATTCACATGATTCACCGTCGTCGTTTCCTGCTTGCGTTTGTATACGTACGTACCTACATCGAGCAGTTGATTCACGATTTTTTGCATTACGTATATATATATACATGTATACAGCTTGCATGCGAAATTGAATTAGCGACTGAACGACAATTAAAAAAAAAATACTTTTACATAATTGCACGTTGCGCAATCGGTACAGTATATTATATATATGGATGTATTATGTATTTATATAATCAATAACGTGTAACGGGCATCGGGATATATCTTGCTCGGCATTCAAGAGTATCGCTGCCTCGGTCGAAGAAAACATGAACTCAAAATTGCCTTCCAAAAAGAGCGCCACCTTAGAGTTCGATTGAAATCGAGGGTTTGCGCTTTCGTCGGTATAGTATATCTGGAATAAAGAAAAATAGAAGCTGTGCTCGCGAATTTTAATTTAATACATATAGTCCACCGTGTCGTTTCTAATACGAATGTGTCGATGNTATATATATAATCATGAAAAACACATTTCCACAGCTTTTTTGTTTTATTTTTATTTTCCAATCGCAAGCACTGTCTATTTAAAACAAGAAACGGCATCATGTTAACTTGTCACCCGTTCACGAGAATCAATCAAACAAATTTATTCAATTTTATATATGTGTAGGTACACCGAAATTCAGTGCCAGCATCGTCGAATAACCCTTGTACCCACACATCCCGATAATACATAAATTTATCTTATCCGGCAGTAAAAGTGCCAATGTATGTAACATCGAGGCATCATTTCGTGTATACTCTCTTTTTTTTGATAAGCCATTGTCAGCAATTAGCCGCTTGTGCTGGATGTAGTCATGTGAGAATTCAGCTCTCGAGCTCGTCGTTAGGGGTTTGTTCGCTGAAATTATACGGTCATACATATATGTACACGGATGAACAAAATCTTATGTGCGTGCACGTGATGGGCTACTATAGTGTACGATGTACGTACATTTAAACTGTTTTATGTAAATGTTAACTTGAATTTTAGTCATTGTTGATAAATTTACACGATTTAAGGTAAATTCACCTAAAAACCTGGGTACAATTGTTTATAAGAATTGGCGATTTTTTCGGATGGACCGTAGTTGGACTCGAAGGGAAAACCCTTATTTCCCAAAACAGCAGCCACAAAGCCTTTTTGAGGAAAAAAAAAAAATTCGTACAACATCGAGCTAACAAAAAGCGACAAAAAGAAAAAAAAAATGGAATTAAGCCCGCGCCTCTTTATACCTCTCGCGGGTGACTTTTGCGAAAATGCACTCGCGAGTCTACCACGAAAGAGAGCAGAGTAAAAAAAAAAAAAAAAGAGAAAAAGAAAACAGAAAGAGATGGACGGCCTTTTTTCCCTCCCGAGCATGGGTACGTGCACGCATATATGTATAAGCGCGTCCTGCCCATTTTTTGCCATCGCGATGAAAGCCAACTCTCCCGGTCGTCGAGCGTCGAAAACAATATGCGTTACGCGGCCGCGCTGCAAATAAGAAGTGGGTGGTATATATACGCGTGTTTGAGCATAAGCGCGAAAAAGCAGTTTTTAATGCGCGTTTGTGTACATATATGTGAGGGACGCGTCGAGGCGGCCCTTTGCTGCTTATACGCGGATGCACTTAAAAAGTATGTACATATACCTGCGAGAGAGAGAGGCTGGCTTACTTCGTGTTTTAGGATAAGCGCGCTGCTTTTCCCTCCTCTGTAACGCGAGATGTGGAGCACATGCAGCTTTGTTTATCTACTTTTTTTTTTTTTTCTGGTTTCGGGTATGGATTTTTATCATTACAGCTAAGTTTTTTTTTTTTATAACCCAGCCGCAGTGAGATTATTACATTAGCAACGACAACTGCTGTACGACACGTTTCAAATGAAAATAAAAGAAATGTATACCTATCAATAACACAGTTTTTTAAAAGTCATTTTTGCGACGGTACGCATTGAAAACAAAGAAAAATCGGTTGGAAATCGTTACTGTATTATAGCTTCAATAAACCGAATGGTTAAGAAAAAAAAAAAAAAAAACAACTCTTAATCGATCGTGCGATTAAGTAAACCTTGGAAAAGGTCCATGTATATAGTCCTTTTATTTGTTCACTCGTACCGATTTCCCTGCACAAAAAAACATACAGGAGGTCTGCGAGCTCGAAACCTCGCCTATACATGCAAGACAATAAAATATGTAATAAGCAGGCTCAGACACGACTTACCACACGCGCGTAAAGGAGCGCCCGGTTAAAAAACAGCTCGATCGCGCACACGGGAGGGCAGCAGCTCACGGCACTCTCTCATCCATCCCCAACTATATATACCACCTCCTCCTCTTCTCCATAACAACAGACACCCACACACAAACTCTCTCTCTCTCTCACTTTCGTTTCTCCGGATCGGAGAGCCGAGAAGAGATCGCGCCCATAGTGAGTAGGTACTTTGTATTAGTAGCGGTTGTCCGTGCTCCGGAGCGCAACGCGCGCATACATATGATGGGCGGTCGCGTATAGGGTACTTTTACACCGATACTGCAGCGGAGGAAAGGAACAAAAAAAAAAAAAGGCCGCGCGCGAAGCAAGGTATACATAGGCACAGACAAGGGCGTCAGCGGGCAAAATGGCCGCGGTGCGGGTCTGGCACCTGGCGAGCCTGTTCCTGGTAGTCGCGGCCGACGAGGGCAACAACAGGTACGCCAATGGTTACTACGCCCAAAGCGGGCCGTACGGCCCCGAGCCCCAGATCCCGCCCGGCTATCAGACCTACGTGTACAAGGACAGGAGGTACGGTGGCTATCAGCCCGGCCACCTCGATCCGTACCGCAACGGGCCGCCCACCAGGTCACCCGACGACTGGTACAACTCGGATGTGAGTCCAATATAACCACTTCTTTTTTCCTTTTATTTCTTCGTTTACCCACGCATATGGGTCATACGAGCAGTTATATATACATATATGGTATGTGTGGTGATGGTTTCGCAATATATACCTACAAGTGACTCTTGCAACACAACTGCAGGTTCATACAGTGCGCGCTTTACGCTCTGGCGCGCTCGCGAGGTACACGTTCATCTAATAATTTCCACTGTCCATCGCATCAGAGATCAAAAAAGAAAATTTTTTTGTTGTCCCCGTTTCATTCATAAAATCTACCGTATACATACCGTGTGTATATATGTATGTACACCTTTTACGTGCACGCAATGTGCATATAATACGTGCTCGCGGCGATCGGTGCTGCAACGCGTGGGTGTGTTTTGATTTTTAAAATTATCCTCTGCTGCACATATAATAATTATACACTGAGAGATAAGTGAAAAAAATTATGCCATTTTACACGTTCAAATTAAAAAACGTACACAAGAAGTAAGAGAAAAAAGGGCACTCGGAAATTCGTACGTTAATTTCTTTCCTTTTTCAGTTGATGAAACAAAACGTTTGTGGACATACAACAAAGTATACCCTGTTTTTAATTTTTTTATTTTTCCTTACACAATCCACAACGCTGTAATTGAGCGCAAGTTTGGGCTTTTGCTCCGATTCCCCCTTATATTGTGTATAATTAAATGATGAGGTAAAATTTAATTCTCGATCAACGGTAATTAGCCTCTTCCTCTCTCCTATTGTTGTTTGAGCTTACGCGCACACACACACACTCACACACCCACTCATGGGATAAATATTTAACGTATATTCTTACGGAATAAAGCATTTTTTTTTTTTCCATTACGTTTATATATTATATGGTAATCGCAAAACGGTACATATAGTATAGCGTCTACAAGCAGCTCTACATGAGATTCATCATCAAAACACGTGCACGAAGTAAATAATACGCGCAGAGTCAACTTTTGTCTCGAATAAATATAATTTACTTGTATGAAAAAGAGCAACTTGATTTACAATTTACATGGAAAAAAAAAAAAAAGAATCATACATTTAATTCCTTATTAGACGTCCGAACGGCTACCCCTACCGGGTATACTGGGCGGTTGGCGGGCGGACCTGCAGGGCAGAGAGCGCCCGGACTCGAAGAACCTCGAGCGCGACATTTTCGTGCGCACGCACTACGGCACCGTCCAGGGCTTCAAGGTGTACCTTTACGACAACCCCGAGGCGAGACACCTGCCCTGGAGCCTTCCCGTCGAGAGGGTTACGGCCAACGTCAACGTCTTCCTCGGAATCCCGTACTCCATGCCCCCCGTCAAGGAGGGACGCTTCAAACCCCCCAGGATACACAAGTGAGCACGGATTTACCATTGTTTTGTACTATTTCGATTTTATTTCAATAATCATTCCACACGTCATTTTCTGGTGGAAAAAAAACAACAACAACAACAACAACAACAACAGTACCTGGTTTAGGAACTTTATCCCCCTGTACACGCAAACCATTGAAAAAAAGAAAAGTTTGTCCATTAAATCACTTGTGTCAATTCCTTTTCGAATGCAGAGGCTGGCACCTGTTGCAAGCCGTCGACTGGGGCCCGGCGTGTCCTCAGCCAAGCCAGTACACCGGGGCGACCAAGGGCGTACGGGACGTAGACGAGGATTGCCTGTACCTCAACATCTTCAGCCCAAACGTGAGAGCAATAATCTCTTGAAACAACATATTATACGCATGAATGATCAATTAAACAAATAATCGTGCGTGTAGATAAACTCCGGGCTGGCCAGCAAGTACCCCGTCATGTTTTACATACACGGGGGCGAGTTCATCCACGGTGCGAGCAACTTGTTCCCTGCCCACATACTCGCGGGCTTTTTCAACGTCACCGTCGTCTCCATAAATTACCGCCTCGGTGCTCTAGGTATATATATATATACAATGTGTTGATGCGTATCGTGTCGTTTATACTTATGAATGATTATGTATATATTACCCGTAGGTTTCCTGAGCACGGGTGACGAGAACAGCCCCGGCAACTACGGCATCCTCGACCAGGCGATGGCCCTGAGGTGGGTGTACGACAACATCGAGTTCTTCAACGGCGACCCCAACAGGATCACGCTCTTCGGGCCGGGAGCTGGGGCAGCGAGCGCCGGCCTCCTCATGGTAGCCCCAAAGTAAGTATATAGCCCCCCCGCGGTTATCGTGCATGGTGATCTCGGTATGATAACCGAACGAGCGTGTCTTTCAGGACGCGGGACCTCGTGTCCAAGGTGATAGCCCAGTCGGGCTCGGCAGTGGCGGATTGGGCCCTGATAGTCGACAAGTATCGGGCCCAGAACACGTCGCGGGTTTACGCCCAGACCCTGGGCTGTAGCATCGAGAGCAGCTGGCGGCTCGTGCAGTGCCTCAAGGAGCGCAACATCTACGAGCACGGAAACGCGGAGCTCAAGCCCCAGGTGGGCATGTTCCCGTGGGCACCGGTGCTCGACGTCAACTTTACCGTGCCCAACGAGTACTACGAGCACTGGGCCTCCACGGACTGGCACTTTTTCAACGAGCCGCCCGAGGAGGGCATCCGGGCCAGAAGGTACAGGCACGACTTGGCCTACATGTCGGGCGTTACCACGCAGGAGGCTGCCTTTATTGTTTGTCAGTTGCTATTTCTTTTATTTTATTTTATTTTATTTTTTTTCTTACTACCGACGCGACGGTGGAAAAAAAACAACAAAATCAAGGGTCTTTTGGTGATTTTAGATAACAACGCCACGTTGGCCAGGAACGAGTTTATCATCACGCCCGAGGTGTTCGACCAAAAGCTGTGGGAGCTAGTGCTGCGGTACAACTACACGCTCAATCCGTGGGGCGTTTACGAGGCCATCAAGTACATGTACACCTATTGGCCCGACCCCAACAACGTACTCCGCGTACGGGACCAGTACATCAACGTGAGTGTTTTTTTTTTTTTTTTTTTTTTTTTTCATTGGCTATTGTATGCGCGAATAAATGTGTTTCCCCCCCCCCCCCGCATCAGCTTCTGACCGATTTTCACTTTGTCGCGCCGCACGACAAAATCGCCAAGTTGTTGGTGGAGAACAACGTCCCGGTGTTCCTGTACGTCTTGAACACGACCATCGAGGCGTTCAATTTGCCCGAGTGGAGGCGGGTGCCGCACGACATCGAGCACCTGCTGCTGGCCGGGGCTCCGTTCATGGATGTCGAATTTTTCCCCGAAAAGTTGAAGCTCAAGCGCGACATGTGGACCGACAGCGACCGCAACATGAGCTACTTTTTCATGAAAGCTTACGCCAATTTTGCGACCATGGGGTATGTTTACCAACGCACAATGGTGATGGAAAAAGGGGGAAAAAATAAAATTGTATCCCTTTAGGAACCCAACGCCGGTTCAGATACGAGGGTTGCACTTTGACGTAGCCAAGTTCGGCGAGCTAAAGTACCTGAACATCAACACTACGTATAATAGCTCGATTTTGCTCAACTACCGGCAGACCGAGAGCGCCTTTTGGTCGCAGTACTTGCCGACGGTGATTGGCCGCTTGGTCCCGACGTACCCACCGATAACGGAGGTAAGTTGGAATAAAATTTTTATCTAAATAAAAAAGAAAAAGAAAAAAAGTGTGCTATAATTGTTATTTTACGATTCAGTATTGGTGGGAGCCCACGCAGCCCATGCAAATTGCCTTTTGGTCCATGTCCACTGCCTGTCTACTGTTGATCGTCATGTCGGTGGTGTGTTGCATGCTTTGGCGCAACGCCAAAAGGTAAGTAAAAGGTAAACAGAACCAAAGCCATGTGACGACGCTACTATACTATTAATGTTGGAAAAAAAAAACAACTATATGCATAGTTTGGTCGTGTAAAAAGCCAAGGGGACAGGTTTCTATGGTCGGTAGTGCACGTGAACCCTGGTTCTGGTTTCACTTAACAAACTTTTGGATAAGCACATACACACACGCGCGCACACATTGCAAAATTATGTCTAGTTGATAAAATATACATTAAAAAAAAAAAAAAAAAAAAACAGTAGATACATACAAAAAAGCACTTTGTTACTAACACGTGGACAGACTGGGTTAATAATACGAATTTTGCTCTTCCCTTTTAGTAAAACGGAAGACGCGATGGAGTACGCAGGTAAAATTTCATTACGTGGTGTACAAATTGTAGTATATTATACCTGTATGTTGTAATTATTTTTAATTTAAGCCACCTGTTAATGCTTTCTTTCGTTGTTAAACATTTTTGCCCATCACACGGCAACGTTATCATTTTGTAAATACACTGTGCACATCTCACAAGGCCTGGTACATGGGGCAATAAAGAAACGAGAGATATCTTTCATTTGGTGCAGCAAACACGATTATTCCAAACTCTTCGTCATAGACAATCATGTAGTATGCTCAAAGTAGTAAAGTAATTGTTTATTGCACCCAAACCAGAGATAGCTCGAATTTTTGTCTAAAAACACCTTTGCAAGTTCGAATGGATCAAGCGTCCCTTCGTATACATGTACATACATAGAATGCGGGTGTATGAGTACATTTAACGTAATTTATCGTCCATTCCATCGACAGACAGTCAGATCACTACTATAGCGGAGATATCCTGATGGTACGAGAAGACGAGCCATCCAACGACGGAATCGACAACCTGACTCGCGTGTCCAAGGAGAACGTCTACGAGTACCGGGACACGCCGCTCGCTATGCCCCGACGGCTTGGCAACAAGCCCCAGCCACCGCCACCCCCGCCGCCCCCCGTGCCCCTCGGGGCATCCGAGAACGACATGAAGCTGCAGGAGAGGCTCGTCGTCGGGCACAACAACCGCAAGTTCAGCTCGACGCCCTCGTTGCGGAGCAACTCCAACTCGTCGATCAAGGACGAGAGGAACGAGGGCTTCGTCACGAGTTCGCCGAACGGCGTGCCCCGCGCTGCCAAGATCGGCCGGGCGTCCAGCCAGTCGACGCTGCCCAAAAGCCGGAGTAGGACCCACCTCGTCCAGGGGGTGCCTCAGACGGCTGTTTGACGCGTCGGTGCGACATCGTGCCTATATTAATTTTAACAGCATTTCAGGAATCGGTAGCGTTAAAATATCTACCTTGTTGTGTTATTGTTGTTGTTGTTATTATATATTGTTGTTGGGTATATTTGCCTTTTTTCTCTCGCGTATACAGTATACAGTGCCTTTGGGGAGTGCAACGTCTCACCAAAATGTCATTGCTTCGAGTAAAAAAACATCCCAACAACTACATCGCGAGCTATGAGTTTTCATTATCGAATTACGAGTACAATTTCGTTTTTTTTTTTTTTTTTTTTCTAACATATCGCTTAAGCTTTACAAACTGATTACCATATTGTTGGCTGTCCAGTTGCGTGCCTATGTGTATATAGTTGCGCCATCGCGATATAGTTAATATGATTAGTATAACGTGCCCTTTCCGAAAGGGAAAACTTATGGGCTTTTCTTTTTATACTTTTTTTAAATTTTAATCTAAGGTATACGTATTATGCGTAGTAGCGACGAGGCGTTTAAAAAACACCCGGCAAAGTGATGAGCTTTTTTCTTTTTTTTTTTTTTTTTTTTTTTTTTTCATCCCGAGTCCGTGTGTCACCGATTGATGAGCTTTTAATTACGCGTACAGCCGATATCATGTATATTTTGGATTGGCTCCAAGGAAGGGCTTTTTTCCTTTTTTACGCAGTATATATTTTGATCCCGGTATGATGAGCAAACGAGTGCTTTTGCGATTAAAAAGTGAAAAAACCNATAAAAAATAAGTGATTTGAAATTTTTTTGTTTAAAGCGATGATGCTCCAAAACTGCCATAACGAGAATGATTGTTTTTAGCCATCACGACTCGTTCGTTTGATTGTTTAACTCTTAAAACTTAGGCATACCTAATCCGTCCAATTAATTAGCTGAAATATTTTATTGTATAGTATGTACAGAAATTTTGTAAAGTATATATTATTATGTTTTTTATTTTATTGCACATTTTAGACGATGAAGCTGCTGTGCAATTGTTCATGACAAACATACTTTTGCGTAACCGCGTATAGCCTTAAAATTGCATTTTACGAAAAAAAAAAAAATAAATAAAATAATGTTGTTTAGAACAATATTTATAGCGTTTTAGAAAAAACAATAGATTTATAAATAAATTTACACAAGTAAGGTAGCGCCCATTCCCTTAATATTATTTTTTAAATTTCAATGCTTGTTCACCTGTTACCATTTGCCGTAGAAATAGTGATCTCGATTATTAATTTACGTATAATAATATGTTTTTAGCCAAGTATTACAAATTTATTACTCGTCAATATAAAAAAAAAAAAAAAAAAAAAAAAAAAAAGTTTGCAAACCCTACAATTACAAATTGTAGATTTGTTACATACATAATATATTATATATCTGCCAATGTATTATAATTGTTCAATATGAAGCAAAAACACATTATACACGATTTTATATTTTTGATACTACACGTCATCGATCTCATGTTCACATTGTCACGGGTACTTGTATAGAAAGTAAGTTTTTAAGTACATCCGATCATCGCAATCAAAAATTTGCCAAACAATCTTTTGTGCTCACGCAGTTCTCGTAAGGTTCACCAAATATGTAAGAGGCCGATCGAGCAAAATAAATTTGAAAACTCGAGGTATCCACGAAGAAAATAAATACGCACACACCCCTATTATGAATTAATCGTATTCGTGTTGTTATTTCATTAAATCATTCCAATAAGCACCCGTGAAAACACACACACACATGTGTATGTACATGACGCAAACTTCAGGTCCATCGTTTAACAGCGAAGGGGCGAATTCGACATTTCAAGGCACATCAAAGCACTGGAAAAAAAAAAAAAAAAAAAAAAACATAACGTGCATCGGCCTGTGATGGTAAAAAAGAAGCCCAGTAAGGTACCCGCGATAGTTACCCCTGGTAACCCTAATCCAATCGAAACCCACTTTCCCCAACGTTCCTTGGCCGAAAGTCCGCAGCGCCGACCAACCGAAAGTCAAAGAACCCGTTGACACCCGAGTTCGCGCCAAGCGAGGGAGCCCCGGCAAAATGCGCTCCGATCGGCCAGGCCCCGACAGACCTCGCAGCAGCCACGGAGGAGGCGAGCCTCGAGCCCCTGGGCCTCGAGATCAGCCGCCCGGACACGGCGATCCTTCTGCTTGGCAGCCCCGAGAGACCGGTCCTCCTGGCGGCGGCCGCCGCCCTCGCCACCTACGCAACCAAGGCGCCTGGCAACCTCGACCGGCTCTTCGACCTCAACGCCCTGGACAACGTGCTCGCTCTTGTTCGCCACGAGGATGTTTTCGCCCGCCGGTTTGTACATCCACACAATCGCCCACACGATTTGCCGATCGCCACGTGGTTTAATCATCGGTGGATTCGACAGCACCAGCCTTGTTTTTAAACCCCCCCCCCCCTCCTCTCCCGGATAACCAGGTTCGCGCTGAAGTTGTTGGCTCTGATGTCGGCTGTGCGAAATGTGCAGGCGCACCTGCTCAGGGACGACACGTACATCGAGCGTTTCACTGAGACGCTGTCCGACGAGGAAGCCGATGTCTTCCTGCAGGAGTACGCCTCGCGGATATTGGCGGAGCTGACGAGCGACCCCACGGGCTCGGCCATGCTTCTGACCGGTCGGCGCGTCGATCCGATCCTCGAGAAGCTCGGGTCTACCGATCCGGACGTCAGGAGGAACTGCCTCGAAATCCTCGCCCACCTGCTCGGGGACCCCAACGGGCCGGACACCGTGTTCCGCTCCGAGGTGAAAAAAAAAAAAAAAAAATCGGTATGAGGGGGGTGGGGTCTCCTTTGGAAGACTCGCGAGCCCCGAGATCGGTTCAGGTTTTCAGCTTCGGGACGCTCTACGAGCTGTTTGCCGAGCCCTACCCGGTCGTCCAGCTGCTGGCGCTGCGCGTCGTCGAGCTGCTCGTGGCGCCCATCGCGCGCGAGGACGTCCACGAGAGCTTCCGAGCCTCCGAGGGCCCGCGCCGATTGCTCGATATCCTGGACGTACGTGGACATGCAGACACGCTGGTCGGGTCGCTCAGAGCTACAAATATACTTATGTGTTGGTCCAGAACGCGGAGTGGAAGGACCTGTTCGGCAAAGTGGTCCGCGTGCTGGGCTTGGCCTGCGGGAACGCGAAAACCGCGGAGCTGATGAACGCCGGCGACGACACGAAGCGCCTGGTTGCCTTCATGGAGGATACGGACGAGGAGGAGCTGAGGTTCGGCGTTTTGGGGGTGCTGGTGGATCTGTCGGAGAGCGCGATCGGTAAAAAGGTAACGAAGCGTTTTGCTCTCGGCAGCTCGTGCATAGTTTTGTTTGCTCGAGTCTGTGCGTGTGTAGGTGCTACACAACCAGGGACTCGTTGGGTACTTGCTCGACGGCGCTGGTGAGGCGACGACGCCAGTGTTTCGGGCTACGGTGTGTCGGGGGATCGGTAGTATGGTGGCCTACCCGCCGGCCGCTGACGAGGTGTGCCAGGGGAATCCCATGGGTTTCGTCGTTCGTGAGTGGTTTCCCCCCCCCCCTTTGACTATACATATATATGATTTTCAACGGGTAATGGTCCAACAGAGCTGTTGATCGACGAGGAGGCAGAGTGGCCGGAGAGACAGGCGGCTGCGTTTGCTCTGAGGGAGCTGTTGGCGTCGAGTTGGCAAAACTGCGTGAACTTTGTAGATGGTGGAAACCAGGTATAAATGAAACCAGTACTCGTCGTTTTGCGGGAGAGAAAAAATTCACACGGCAATCGGTGGGCAAAATATACGTTTCCTAGGTCCACTTGGCGCTCTTCGTTGGGCGACCGGTGGAGTCAGCGCCCTGGGAAATCCAAGCGACCATCATTCAAGCCCTGTCAGCCATGGCGGACCACTCGAGGCTGGCCGACGACCTGATAGATCCCGAGCTCTTTTCCGCCCTCTGCTCTCGCCTCGACGTAAATTACTCACATTACATGTCCTTGTGATGAATTGCGCACCAAACAAATGACATTTTTAGTTTACATTTCAAGAATAACACGTTAATTTTTTTTTTTTTTTTTTTTTTTTTTGTGGATTGGAAACTGTAAGGTTTAGGAGAAAGTTTAAACAAATTTGTAAGGACAGGGAATATCGGGACAAATCACTGTGGAAATATTTCCAATACACGTTCAACAAACACGTCCAATGTTTTTTTTTGTTTTTTTGTTTTGTTTTGTTAAATTAAATTACATTGAAAAAATATTAATTTAATGGGATACAGTATGTCTTTTTTTCCGATTACCTTAAAATATTGTTAGATGGATAAAACCATCAAAAGAGCAAAGAAACGTTTTTTTTGGTTAAAAAGAAAAAAAAATCGGGCACATTAAGTGCAAGAAATCCTTCCGCCTAAAAGAAAATAAACTACCACACCAGTTGTTATTTTCGCTTTCCAATTTTACCAACTGAAAAAAAAAAAAAAAAAAAAAAAATTCCCCGTACACCCAACAGCCAGAAACCAAGGCGGCCGACGAGCTAAGAATCGCGTGCTGCGACGCGCTGTCCCGCTTCGGTCGTAGCGACGAGGCCCGAGCCCACCTCATCCGCGCGAGCCTTCACTGCAAGATCCACTGCCTTCTCCTTGAGTCGAAGTCGGTGCCGGTCCTCCACGCCCTCGTCAATCTACTACTCAACTTGTGCAGCGCCGACGACCACTTTGCCGTGCTCTGCACCCACGAGGGCTGCCTATTTCAGTTAACCGTCACTCATACACGTATACATATACGCCCATCCTAAACGACTCGGCGTGACGTTTTTTTTTTTTTTTTTTTTTCTTCTTTTTTTCGTCGACTTGTTACACATAGTATGCTGAAAAACCACTCGATGTCGAAGCTCGTGCCTACGTGGAACACCTGCATCGAGGCGCTGTTCGGCGCGGATCTATCGATGAAGTTCGCGTACACGGGCCGCCTGTCGCTCACCGACCTCACCCCGGACGGCTTTCACGCGCTGAGGCACACCCATTGCCCGTAATCTCCACTTTTCGTTAAATCGCAAAAGGCTGCATGTATAGAGGATCATCCCCTTTTACCCTATTTGCAGATTTCCAGTGTTGGAGGAGCTATTTCGTCTGAAGCTGTGTCCCCTGCAGCCGATTTACGTGGCTAATTTCGGGGGTACGCCGCGCCACGACTCCGACGAGGAAGACTTTGACCTCCTCGTGAGCAAGTGCGCCGCGTTCAATGGTAAGCAACGTGTGGCGACGAATCGTGCATTTGTAAAAAAAAAAAAAAAAAAAAAAAACACACAGCTGCGCGCGAGTCGATGAGGCGAGAGAGCTACGAGCGGGGGATACGCGTGTCCGAGGGNAAATTGTAGCTTTTTTGGAAAATGATCTTGTTTCAAAGTATTTATAAAATAGTTGGATGCAAGGCATGTCATTTACAATGAATAGAGGTGAACGTCGAGAAAATATATTGACAAGTTTTTCACGAGTGATTGGTTGGATTGGAAAAACAAGAAAATGGGGGGTGGAGGAAGGTTGGGCAGGGTGTACATGTTTCGTTATTTACTCACGGGGTGCGTCTGCGATTTTTGCTTCAGTCGTGTCACGTTGCTCTCCTCCTCCTCCGGAAGTACCGAAGTCATCCTTGCATCAAAATTCCGCTGCGCCTTTGTCCCTTTTTTTTTTTTTTTTTCACGATTCTACCGGAATATCAAGTGCTTTCGAATTTCTTTTTCAGTAAACAATGGTCACCTTCGGTGGAACTGTAGACTGGGGTTTCTAATGTAGCCGATGACTTTTTTTTTATCCCGTGCAGAAAATTTGGTTGCACCAGTGCGGTGTGTCATCACTCGCTCTACATTGCGTAATTCGTTGCGTGGCTTTCAAACGAGAATATTATTGACCTGAAAAATTGAACCTTTGTAAAAAAAAAAAAAAAAAAAAAATACACACAGCTGCGCGCGAGTCGATGAGGCGAGAGAGCTACGAGCGGGGGATACGCGTGTCCGAGGGGACGATCAACGCTTGGCTCGAGCTCAAGTTCGGCAGGCTCCAGGCGGACCCCGATCTTCAAGGTTACCTCGAGCTGTTTACAGCCGAGCTCGCGGCCATCGAAAAGACAGACGGACACGTGTAAGCTGACTGTATACCATATACACCTGTGCCTTTTTTGAACCCTTATTGTATAGTTGACGCAACCTACCATATACTACACCGAGCTTAGGTTCGAAATGACACACCGTTGTAGGTGTTTTTCCCCCTCATAGTCACATTGTGCAATTTATAAAGAAGTGCACTGGCCACAATGACACACGAGTGATTGCGCTACTTTCGTATGCAAACAAAGCACCAGCCGAGTACCGGGATTGGTGCAACCGTCGCGCATCGCGTCCCGGGCCCGTCTCCTGGGGGTCTTCGTCGCGCGCCAACTCGCAGGCACCGACCCGTCCCAGCCGTCGAGTTGTCTCGACCAACAGCTCGAGGTCCACCTGCACGGGCTGAGGGAGCGCCTCGAGACTAACGTCATCCCCCTTGGGCTGCTCCGCGTGGGCTCCTACCTCGAGCGAGCCCTACTCTTCAAGGTCATGGCCGACCGGGTGGCCCTGCCGGCGAGTCTGGTGCGCGGCTGCAACGGCAAGTCCTGGGTCGAGATCGCCGTGCCAACCGTGAGAGCTGTGCAATCAAACAATATATGTATATATTTATACACATGACTTCGTGGCAATAATAAGTAGTACAAATAAGTCACAGGCCAGTGGGCAGTCGGTGGTGGGGGACGAGCTGCCGCCGCGCTACCTCAGGGAGAACTTCATAGTCGACCTGATGGACGTGCCCGGGCAACTCGTGCCCGTAGGCAGCTCCAGAGCCGATAGGTACCAGGAGAAGCGCTCGGTTTGCCTGTTCGAGTGTTGCGAGGACAATGCCTCACCCGGACCGTACACATGAGGTATTTTGACGAGGGTGAAATAATAAAGATGCAGCCAGTTATCTTTTTTTTTTTTTTTTTCATAACAAATTTCTTCTTCTCTTTCTTTTTATCTTCCCTCAAAGTTAATTTACAGAAATATACGATCGGAGAGTTAAACGACGGACGGTGGGTTGCTGTTGTGTTATCATGATTAAATTTGTCAAACGATTAATCGTAAAAGCGTGTCTGCGTGAAGTACAATCGTGGATGCAAAAAAAAAAAAAAAAAAAAATAGTGACCCCGCATAGCGTAGTGGTAAAAACTAGCCATGGTCGTGTAACGTGCGTACACGGGAAAAAGGACTCTGCGGTTAAGCGCGCGACGATTACAATATCCCAGTTTTTTTCGTACGTTTATATAGTATAAGCGCGGAAGGGAGTTAGTTTCCCGTTGCGCGGGCGTGCATTTTCAATTTTCCGCACCGCGCTCTGGGGGCTAATTAATTTCCCCGGCCGGCGCTTTTTCACTCGGTGTTCCAGCTCATCCACGCGCTCGTGTACATACGAGTAGCGAATTTTTTTTTGTTTTTTTTTTTCATCGATGTATTTTCACTGCCTCCTTGATTCTGGAATGGCTGCACTTTCAGTCGTCTGAAACACAAGAGACGTGCTTGTATATATGTAAGATGAAGTTTGGGGAAACATGTATACATATGTGTATTTGCCCTCACCAGTGGCGTCCTCGTTTCCGACGCGGTGCTCCTCGGAGATCCTCGTGCGTTCCCTCGCGACCCTGCGCTCGAAAGCCTGGCCCCGCTCGGCCTCGACTCTTCTCAGGGAGGCCAGCACGTCCTCGAGGTCCTTGCTCGTGCAGGGCGTCGTCGGGCGCCCACCACCGCCTGCACTTCTCGGGGTCGTCGACGAGGGGGACGAGGGCGAGGTGGGTCCGGTGATACCGTGGTCGTCGCCCGACGAGTCGTCGTAGCTCGAGTCGTAGTCGCCGCTCACCACCGATGCCTCCTCCGACTCGTCACCGTTGCCTTCGCCGTAGATCTGCGCGTGCATTGAAGGGGAAAAAGTGATTTCTTTTTTTTTTTTTTCATGAATTAAATTAAAAATTATTTTTACCCCTTGATGCGCAACTTCATGTATATACGAGTGCTTGATTATTCATGCATGATTATACATCATTTAGTCTGCGAGTGTGGCTAAGGAGCAGAGCGCTCGTGTCGCGTCGTTAGGATGTGTATGATGCTTTGGGTGCAATCGCTTAATCGACTCGGGGCGTCTCGTTACCCGAATTCTCTTCTTACGTTGGTATATGTATACATTTATATAAGTACAGATTTTATCATTGGCGCGGTGAATGGAGCATACTTGGGTGAATACGAGAGGACAAATCCTGTTTGGTGTGTGTATATAACTTGCACATTTGGCAGAAAAAAAAATAGAAATTGAATGGAAACTTGATGAATGAGATGTGTGAAAAGTGCGTGGAGGCGAGGGAAAGAATAAATATGTATAACGATGTTTTCGAGAGAGAGAGAGGAAAAGAAGAGAAAGAGGAAAGAAACGCGAGAAGAAACGATACATACAGCCGCTCTGGTATTCGGTGGGCGAGTTTCATTTTCTTTGACTCGGGTGAACAAATTACGCGCGGAAAATATGACGATTTTTTTTTTTTTTTTTTTTTTTTTTTTTTTTTTTTTTTTTTTCTTTCAGTTCCAAACAAGTGCAATTTATCGCGCGGTGCATTTAGATGTATAGGATTAAAAAAAATAAAACAAAACCCGTGGACTGCGCCTCCGTTGGAAAAAGGAAATAAACAAGTCTGGTTTTCTTCCATTCTCGGAGAGCAGCCGATAAATCCAAGTGTCTATGGGTACGAATAAAAGCCACGCCGATAAGTCGGACAGAAGTGAAATTCCCTGTATCGCCAGCAGGCGTGGGGGCGAAAAGAAAAAAATAAAATAAAAAGACCATTGTTTTCAATGGCGGTGCACGTAAGAAAATGCCGCTAGATTCCCCATATAAATGTCGCGAGGGTTTTCAAAGTGAGCATCGGCCTACCTACGTATACATGTAAATCGCGCTGCAACGGAATCCCAGAGTTGATTTTATACAGTCGGGACACGTAAAAGTGTACATCTTTCAAGTTTTTTTTTTTTTTTTTTTTTTTTTTTTTTTGTACAAGCGCAGCTTGCAAAGTTTGAAATTATATTTTGATCGCGGCGCGTGGTGTTTGCTGACAAAGTCGCGCGTTTGAAATTCCGCGATACCTTGCGAATAAGTGAATTACGAAGGAAAAATCCATCTTGGTATAATAATAATGATAATATTATTAGCGTCTTACTCTCAGGGTATTTCTTTAGATCGGTAGCTAGGATCATGTGTACGCATTTCGGAACAACGATTTCAAACTACCTCGAAGAAACAGCCAGTTTAGAGAAGTTTGGTTATTTTTTCCTCTAATCTTGCAGTAGCTGTAGTAACTGCTGTTTTTACTTATGAGTTTATAGTAAGGACAAACTTTTTTTTTTATTCTCCGGATGACAATGAGTTGATGCAACCAAAAATTAAATCTTTTCAACCCGAGTTTAAATTTTCTGTCCACCGTATACCGTCGATACGTTGATATTTTTCATCCGTGAAAAATATAAAACACTTGCCAGCTCATTCAAGCCACAAAAGTAAAAACTCGACGCACAATAGCCTCTTTGCATCCCCGGCGGGTCAAAGAGAATAAAAAGCGTGTCTCGGGGATGGGGGGAAGGTGCACAATCTACGCACAATGGAGGAAACAAAAAAAAAAAAAGTCGCGCGTGAAAAATCATTGCAACCGTTTATCGCAAGGGTTTCGCGTCGAAAAGTTGGCGCGAAGAAAAGCCACCCGCAGTGAGTACAGTAGAGTGTTTTCTCCTTCCTCCTCTTTCTACTTGTATTTACGAGCGTCACGCACAAAAGCGCCTATAATCCTATACGGTTTAAGGAGCTATTCAAGCTAAATTTCGTTTTTTTCTCCCAACCGATTGTCAAAAAGGTAGTAAAGTTCAACTTTTTATTGTAAAAATAAAAACAATCACGCATATCGTACAAATCGCTAATTTTAATACAATCAATAAAAAAAAAAAAAAAAAAAAAAAAAGAAGCAATGGTTTTAAATGATTGAACCCGATTAGATTAAAAAGAGATAAAATGGATGGCCATACCTGTGCACGTGTACAAGAGCCCGATACGAGGATGGGCCAAAGTTGGGAGGGTCTTTTGACTGTCACGCGAGAGCGAATGAGCTTTTGGTTACCAACTGGCGTGGAATTCTCGCGGCGAGCAGGGTAGCGCGGTGGTAAATACAAAGGAGAGAAACCAGATGGAGGGGGGGGGATCGGGTGGAAGGGTGAGAGAGAATCAAACGAGGAGGCTTGAGCTCGGCTATAAAAGGGACCTAATTACCGAGAGCTACTCGAGCCAACGCAAAACACAAGGATCGAAGAGTAGGGTATATTATGGTAATGGGCGGGCGTTGGTTGTGCTGAAAGTTAATGGCTTTCGAAAAAAATAAAAAATAATAAAAATAAAATAATGGTGTTGGGAAATCTGCAAATTAATTAGGATTAAATGTACATACCGAGGAAAAGAGGAGGAATCAACAAGTGGCTGAATTTACGATAAAGACTACGCTTTTGTACACGCGAAATACATAAATATATATATATTTATATATTATAACTCGTACAAGAGAAACAAAAAATAAATTGCAGTTAGTATTTATATACTACAGTCTATTGTTTACTCTGACCCAAGTACAAAGTATATACCTGATGCTCTTGAAAAGCTTTCGTGCCAAAAGATAGATGATTTCAATTGAATGTTAGTCAAATACATTATGACATTTGCCCCGCACCACATAAAACATAGCTAACTCGAAAGTATAAATTTAAGTACCTTTTCCCGCGTATAGCCTGTGAGCAAAGGGATGTAAAAGCCCGCCGTGACTCGTACGTACGTGCACAAACAAAATACAACTGCATCACACCAAAGGGAGTTGTTGAACTCGTTAGACGCATTATTACAGAAATAAATGTGAGTACTTACTTGGTTGGGCCGTATTTTCGTATACAAACGCGACGCAACCAGCCCCGGGGAGACCTCAATTAAAAAGTTCGCGACCGACAAAACAAGTTTCAAGTGTGTATGTATACATTATTATGTGTAACAACTAATGTTTTTCTCGCTTTTTTCTCCCCCTCGTGCAATAATTATGGTGTTACACCTGTAATTGTCAACGTTATGTACCAAAGTGCTATATTTACATATTATATTTTATCATTATATTATACACGACTATACGTAGCTCATCAACAAAATTACATATGTTTACAAAACCATGTACACATTGTTTGGTACAAACAAAAAGTATCGCGTCACTGTTGTCGAGGATAGGTACATATACACCTTTCAACGATTGGACATGGACATGGTCCTGCGTATATGCATTCGCGTGTAAATTGAAAATGGAAAAGAAAATAAAGTGCCTCGGGCGAAGCTCCGACGTGCCCTTTTTTCCCTCTCCTTTGGATTTTTTTACATAGTTACGAGTTGGAGACGACGCCGGTGTTGCTCTAATCCGCGAGTGTGTGAAAGTCTAAGTTTCAAGAATTTTTTTTTTCTTTTCAATGCGAGAAAGTAAAGCTTTTTTTTTGTTCGATTTCATTCAAATTCACATTTGGTTTTGTCACTGTGTATGTCAACAGCTCTGTGGAGTACCTGTACTGGAAGAAAAAGAAAAAAAAAAAAAAAAAAAAAAATTATGCAACAAATCAACAAAAACGCTCTGTAAACAGGAGTTGAAATCGCAGTATGGACGCGTACTTTGCGGTGATTTCATTCTCGCATCAACTTATTACAGATGAGAATCTTTCGGAAGCAAAAAAAAAAAGGTAAACTACCTCCCAAGTGGGGATAGCTGAAATAGTTTACCCAAAGCGACGAGTTCTTTCGTATAAACAGCTCAAACTATCCCCACACCCCCTAGCTACCCA